CTCCTACAAGGCATCACAAGGCTCGTAAGTCTCACCATTCTGGCCATGTAGCTACGCGCCTGCCGCCTACAGTCGCAGCTGCAGCTGCGTCAGCCGCAGCAGCGGACGAACAGCGCAGCGCATTTCTCAAGGAGCACGAGAATAAAATTGCTCAGCTCAAAGAAGAGCATAGGCAGGACCAGCTCCGTATCGACAGGATACACAGGGAGCGCCTTAAGATGCAGTTGCGAGATGGCGAAAGCCTCTCGCATTGCGGTCAGCGTCTGTCGCCCAGGAGGCCGCGCAAACCTCATGAAGGAGGTGAGGCTGCCAGGCGCTAGACCCTTGCCAGGCAGCTAGCCCCCAGCCTAAGCCTAACCTCTCCCTCTTTCCTCTATAAGCTCCCCTTCCTGCCTCATCCCCATCAGGCCATGAGGAGCGAGCCCAATATCCTGGACAACGCCGATGCAGACGAGGACGCGCCCGCTGCTGAGGTGCACCCCGGGCAACAATTAGACCCGCGAAGCATCGCGCATCCAGCCTCTCGCTTGACTTCCTTATGGAAGCATCTAGCTGAGCGGCTTCTTTTGGCTCACCAGCAAGTCTACCGCTTTCTCAGCGGCGGCGCAAGGCGCCACGCACTCATTCTGTCTCCCACCACGGTGTACCAGCATAATGCGGTACCCCAGTGGCAAGCCACATGGCAGCTCGAGAGCGGGCCGCCCGCATGGCCACACGCGCGCTCCTTCGTGGGCCCTCTGCTTCACTTAGATTTGCCCACGGCCGTTAATCGCACACTCGAGCGCTGGCATGGCCGCTGGCGCGAGGCCAACTCCCCCAACCTACTCCACATCTACCCCCAATGTGCTGCGGGGGACGGTCCCTACGATGCCCGTTTCTCACCCACCATAGGGCTAGTTACAGTTTACGTGCCGAACCAACTTTTTCTGGTCCTACTTCAATCGGGGGCCTGGGAGCAGGCCCCCCTCAGCCCTCACAAGCTTTTGCAGGATGCAGCGGCCGGCAGCCCCATCCTTATAGACTTCCAGGCCATGATCATGGTTCGGCCATTCTGCCTCCCGTTGCCCCACCTCGCTCGAATCCTCCGCCTCCCCGAACCCTAAGCCCTCAGGCCATGCCGACCCCAGAGGCGCAGCACCTGCCGCAGTTCGAGCACGGTGACTTCCGCTGCGCCCCCACTGAAGCAGCGCCACCACCGCCTACAGCAGCGCAGTGGATGGTAGTGATAACGTCAGGCCCCATTTCGCTTTGGTCCCCACTGCCCATCAATGTAGGGCTCCTAATGGAGCAATTCCATGGGCAGGAGACCAGGCTGCCATCCTCTGTGGAAAGGCCGCGCATTTTTCACCTCCCCATCCTTCAGGAGATGGATGCACGGCCCATCCTATTTGGCACGGGCATACCCCACCGCACCGGTCTTGCGCTGCGGGTCAACATGCGTAGCGGCAACATCCTCATCCCTATAGACTCCGCACCAGGCCAGGCGTGCATCAGTCGGCCCGTCAGGAGGGTCCTCCTCACACAGATGCTAGCACAGGCCAGCTAGGTTTCACTCACATCTGGCCGCCGTTGGCTTATGGGCTATTTCTTTTTGCTTCCTCGGCACTCCCCCCCTTCTCTCAGCGCGCCCCACGCCGCCATGGTGCCCGCGCCTCCCGCGGGTGGTTCCGCTGCGGCCGCGGCGGAGGCGGGCGCGGCCGAGGCCAGCAGGGCGTCGCCTGACACGCGGGAGCTCTTCGGCCTCTCAGGGGACACCCATGCTGGTTCGGCTTGGCAGGGCTCCCAATACACGGCCGCCACGCGCGAGTTCAAAAAGTGGTGGCCCTCCACCTACCCGGGCGAATGGAAGATGCCCAACGGCATGCTATACCCGTTCGTCTGGAAGCTCAAGTCGCTGGACGTCATCGACGGCCAGGTCGTCGAAACCTGGGACTGGGAGTGGATCGAGACCCCAGGCCTGGCGACCATCTCTGAGGTGGAGGCCATGCTGAGGAACCACTACAACCAGCAGCAGGCTGCCGCGCAAGAGGCCCAGGCGCGTGCGGCGGCGACAGCGGCAGGTCTCTCGGCGCTCTCTGCTGCCGCCCGCACTCTCAACCCGTCGCCCTTCAGTGCCTGAGCGAGCCACGCTAATGACGCATCAGTCAGCGCCCTTCTAGGTCGACCTAAGCGACCTCGGCGCCACTAGCAGCGTGCATACTTAGGTGGTGGGCTCGCCTAATACTTTCCTTTCCACATCCTTTCAGCGTCTTCTCTCCACCTCGGCAGCCCACCACCTAAACAGCTGGAGCCATGCCGCTCCAACTCAAGGTCGGTCGAGCCGTCCTGCATAGCTGAGTTGTATGCCACGCGAGTCTAGCAGCATCCAGCCCTTCCCGTCATTGTGCGGCTCTGCAACCTTGGGCAGCCCCGCTAACAGTGAGGCGGCTGAGCGCCGCTCACACATATCAATTCGCAGACTCGCCACGGCTGAGTCCTCACGCATAGGTGGTGGGTTAGCACAATGCTCAGATTCTGGTTTGCCTGCAGCCCACCACCTATTCAGCCCAAGCCTCCTTTGCTAGCCAAACTCTTATAAAGGAGACACCGCGTCTCCAATTTAAGGCCGGCCAAGCCGGCATACATTCCGCTGCAGTGAGGCCTTCAGGTGCATACTCTCACTGCAGCTCTTGCGGCATCAGTCGACACCATCTCAGGCCAATATGGGATGGGTGACCATGGCGCTACCGTAAATGTGCCACACAGGGGCGGAGCCGCCTAATACTTACCTCGGCAGCCCACATAGCGCTCTTTTCTCCACCGGCCCCTCTTTTAGAGGGCCCTATCCAGGAGTAGTCGCCACTCATGGGCGCGACTTCTCACTTTGCTGCACTAGTGCGGCCAGCGCAGCACATTTTAACAGCCTCGCTAAACAGCGATCGGCTAGGCTCACACAGCAATTCGCAGACTCGTCACGGCGGAGTCTCTAGGGGATGGGCTGGCCTAATACTCGTGGTTCGCCCTGGCAGCTCACTACCTAGACAGTCCTAGCCACAAGTGCCTCATGAGAGGAACGTGGCCTCTGCCCCGACGCATCTCTTTGGCCCCCGTCCAGGTGTAGCAGGGTCCCCTTGGTCCCTGTGTGCCTGTGAGGGGCCACACGGAGGTGGGTCTCTGTTGTCTGGTCTCGGCTAGCGCCCAGGCACACCCACCTCCCCGTCGCGGACGGCCCGCACAGGCCTCTCAGCTGCAGCTGCAACTCTTTCAGCGCCCGTAAGGCCTTTAACTGTGCGGCATCCAGCCGGCACCATCTCAGGTAATATGGGATGGGCGCCCATGATGCAACCGTCAATGCGCCACACAGGGGCGGGGCCAGCCTAATACATACCTCGGCAGCCCACCTAGTCACTCTGCTTTTTACCGGCCCCCCTTGGAAGGCCTGTGCAAGAGTCGTTGCCAATCAGGGGCTCGACCTTCCACCTTGCCGCATGAGTGGGGCCAACGCGGCACTTCTTAGCAGCCTCGCTATACAGCGATCGGCTTGCTCACACAGCAATTCGCAGACTCGCCACGGCTGAGTCTCCTAGGTGGCGAGCTGGCCTAATACTCTTGGTTCACCTTGGCAGCTCATTACCTAACGATGCTACAGCACAGCCCCGCCGAGTAACTCTCGGCCAAGGCGGCCAGCGAAGGTGCCATATATGCAGACAGGCACCATGCCCCAGTGCGTCTTGGCTGCGCGGCTGAGGCAAGGCCGCGGCAAACATATGTGCCTCGTGGGAGGAACGCGGCACTGGCCTTAGCTTGTCTCTCTGGCCCTCGTCCAGGTGTAGCAGGGTCCCCTTGGTCCCTGTGTGCCTGTGAGGGGCCACACGGAGGTGGGTCTCTGCTGTCTGGTCTCGGCTAGCGCCCAGGCACACCCACCTCCCCGCCGCGGTCGGCCCGTACAGGCCTCTCAGCTGCAGCGTACGCCCTGCAACACGGCCATGCCATTCCGGCCCTTCTTCCTCTCCCGCCTCTTTTGACTTCCCTAGCTCCTCCTTCAGTCCAGATCTCCTCCCCTGGAGGTTTGGACAGCCGCAATGCGGCCTGGCCATTTTGGCCCTCCGTCCAGCTCTTCCCTCTTAATAGCAGTCCGAAATTCGGAAGGCACTCCCAGGCAGGTCTCTTCTTTTTCCTGCCTCGCACTGCTCTCTGCATCGAGGGCTGCCCTTCTATGGGCAACGAAGCAGGGTGCCGCTGATGTCTCTCTTCGCACGGCGCTGCAATCTCCTCCTCCTTCGTTATGATTCCTCTCCTCCCCTCCCTCAGCGCCAATACCTCTCTCCTGACAGTTTTCGGGACGAGAGCGGAAGCAGCTCAGCGTCCATGCTCTCGGGCTTCTCGTGTGCAGCCTGTGCCAGTCCTTTTGGCCGCTGCGCTCAAGCTAACTTGCAACGAGCTAAGTATAGTCAAAAAAAACCCTTCCCCGCACCGCCCACGCCCCCATACATCTCCCCCATCCATCCCCTCAATCCCCTCTGCGTGTATCACGCCCCCCAACCCAATGCCGTCCCTCGCCCTCCCCCATTCCGCCCTGGCTCCCAGCCAGCCATCGAACTCCCCCCCACTGGCACTTGGCCCTCTGAGCACCCCTCCTCCACATTTATCCCCCCTTCCCAACCCATTACCGCCCGTCGCCCTCCAAGAGGCCTCACAGCTGGGGTTGGAGTTGATGGGATGCATCGCCGATGCATCGGCGATACGTCGACATCTGCGAGACTTGGCACTTGCGTGCCCCCGCTCAACAACCAACGAGCCTCTGCCCCCTGACCCTCAGGAGAGGCTAAGTCCAGACAGAGTAAGTCCATACACAAAACGAGCACTCCGTGTCGCCTTACCCCGTATGGACTTGGCCTCCTATCAAAAGAGGCTAGATTCAGACGGAATAACTACACACGGGGACCGAACACTCCACACGGACTTCAGCCGTGTGGACTTAGCATACTCCGATGGCCCCCGCGCGGCTTCACGGCGGGCGC